GGTACGTTACTTCTATATGTACAGTAAACGCTACGAAAGTTGTAATTCCTTTACTTACTAGTCAAGCGAAACTAGCAAATTTATGAGCAATTTAGCATGTGTTTGATAGACAGACCAAATAAAACTGAAACTGAAGCTCTAGTGCAATCAAAGTAGAAGGTAAGGAAAAATGTCGTGAAGTGACTTCGACCAACAATGTCAAAAGCTTCTAAACTTTTTAAAGTCTCCCGCATTGGGTCTTTGAAAGCTTGATTTTTCGCCTAAGAATATGTAACCAAATGAAGCAAAAAAGCATATCTTCTTGCTAAATGTTTGTTATTCGCTATAATTGACTTCAAAATCATTTTAGGCTTTACCTACAGCAGTCTAACATCTGAGGGAAAGGCAATGATTGCACGAGAAAAAGCGAGACATCGATCTGCGCTATTGACATACTTGAACTCTAAAAAGAATTCATTTGATGACAAACTTAACCAGATCATTCAAATAGAGCATATGATGGCAAGCATTGAAGTAGGCGATCATTCGATTGGAGAGGAAGACTGATAAACCAATTTTTTCTCTTTTAGGCTGTTTCAAACTTCATGGATAAGGAAATCCAGTTCTTGGGGGTTTTCGGTCTTCTCGACATGGGTCGAACTCTCATCAGGGAGTGCCATGTTAATAAGTACAAGTTTAATCTCTCGACTTGATTGTGATATTGCGTATAGAGAAAACTTACGTGGAACAGTTTTAATACGTAGCTAAGAAGCCGAGAGATTACTAATGTTGATTCCAAATAAGTGCAATTGTTTGTGTTTATACCGCACACCATAAGGTTGCAACGGAGTGATCAGAAGCAGAAGTAAAAAATTTTTGCTTGTTTATTTCAATTGGTGGATGCTCTTGAGAGTCCACATTGTAATGATCCTTTAGACACTTCAATTTAATAATTTTCAGCGCTTTTTTTAAGAATGATATATATCCTTAGTCAAAATCGTGACCCGAAATTCATCTTGGGTGGATCAGACTGATGGAATCGAAATTGTATTCATGTTACACAAGTAAGAATCTCCGCTTTTCCGCACACTTTACTTTTACGATGTTTATGTTGCAATGGAAGTCGTCAGTTGACTCAACTGTGGAGAGTGAAGTTCCCTTGACCATGGGTAGGACATAGGTCCATTGCTCGAAATTATTACGTTAGCGCGAAGTAGTGTATAAGGCTGTGACAACGAATTTAGTGTCATGAGTTCATTTTATCGAGTAAGCCTACACTCCCGACACCTGTGTTGTATTTTGATTCTGTTCTCATAAATCCCTAAACCCTAGAAGAGTTGTTTTTACAGAGGATTGGTGTTTAAAGAAGGGAAGAAAAACGTAGGTAACTTTTAGAAAGACGCAATAGTTTGAAGAATCAGATTTTCAAAAAAAAGGAGAAGATGATTTTTGACACAAGATTCTATTATCTATTGGGCTAGAGCATTCAAAACTTCGATAAAAATTCTAAAAGTCTTTTTGCAAGCCTTTGAAAGCAATATTTCAAAGTCAGTCATCATCAAAGACCAATGCTCTTCCATATATCTATCGTGTCCTATTGCAAAATTGCAGTTTGCTCAGTGTGTACTTGTTAATAAATATGCCTTACAAGTGCTGGATTTCGTGATTTGGTTAAAAATTTGACACCCAACAACAACATATAGAGATCCTTCTTGCTCTTGCTCTCATACTGCAGTGAAAAAACCAACATAATTACTAACTTTTCGTTGAGACACGAGACGTGTTGCAATAAACTAAGAAACATTCATTGTGTAGTAAAAGACAATAAACAGCACACAGATCAAATTTTTGCATTGAAATAGATAGATTAAGAAATTGAAACTTTCTTTATAACGTGGAAATTATGAAATTCATTGTACGGGACCATTCGTGAGCAAAACGCTGCGCCCGCTTACATCAAACTTGCCACCTGCTTAGGTCCCGTTCTGCAGACGTTTATGATGAAATTTTCTTGCTTTGGAAATTGAAGTAACGAAATGGGGCGTTACGTGTAAATAACAATAAGTAATTAGCTACAATTTTACAACTTCCAGACAGCATCCATCCTTAAAGAGGTCCTACAGTGTATATTTGACATCATTCAGAATACCTCGGGTTTTCGAACCGGCAGCAATGTCAAGAGCTTTTAATTTGAATAATCGACCAAATTTATATATAGTCGTTAGTTTCGACTATCAAGCTATAATGATAGCTGCAATTTTGTAATATAAGAAAAACGATCCAGTCCCAAACTTACGAGGTATGTGGTTGGACACTTGACCATGCGTTATACAATACCGCTCATAACTTCTGCAAAAAAAAACGTGATTTCACATCAAAATCCGTCGCGACGGGATAAT